CATGGAGGCTTCACTTGGAAGAATTTGACAACTAGATTAATTCAAGAAACATAATCTCGTAAAAGTTTCTACAATTCCCTTCTCTTCTCCTTTGCTCTTAAGGATTATAATCTTGTTTAAGATTATTTTACTTTTTGTTGTTTTCCCTTAAAAATGAACTAAAACGCCTCTTTTGGGTTTGGATATATCTGTATTTGGTTGTGTTGTTTGAATTTCTATGAAAAATATTTGATATTTGATTTTATTTATATACAGTATGTTTTATTTTGATTGTAATCAAACTATAAATTGTGTTAATTTTAATTATTATCCTAGAAGATCTATCTAAATAAAAGAGCAGACACAGACTCATCTAAAGTAAAAACACCATAGTGGATGGATTGTGGGTTAGAAATTATTGCGATGAACTCGTGTGTCCCTTTTACGATCCTAAGAATAACAAAGACAACCTCTCTCATTGACTCAATGAAATGGAAGTAGGAAGGTAGTACCAGAGAAGGCAAAAATCTTAAACTTATAAGAGCAAGGTACTGATCACCCCTGATCAAACCTCAATAATATTAACCCACACTTAATCTTTGTATTAATTGTTGACTAAACAAACCAAAACATGAGAGTACCAACTCCTAAAGCTTACTCTCCTTGATTTCTTTCTGTATAGAACCTAGTTTTAGTAGTTGTAGTATTTTCTATTGTGATTAACCTTTAAATTTATTGTTGCATTCAGTTTTGATGATTCATATAATAATTGACAAGTTTAATTTTAATAATTGCTAACAAATAATTATGGGGCATGCTTGTATTCACAATTTTATTACTTACATGATTACATGCTCTTGAATATTTATTAATACGCATTTAGCTTTTGCTATCATTGTCTAGATTGCACCAAAATATTGATAAAAGATTTATAGATTATTACTTCAAAAATTTTTCTTCTTTTTTTATTTACTTATTTTTAACTAACTTTTCTAGTTTCACATTTATTATCTTTTTTCTAATTTAATTTTATTTTCAGCCTTTATATGTTGAATTATAAGATGGATGCCACCCACAATTGACTGCTATTCCAAAAATAGAAGTCTTATTTATAAAACAAAGCTTATAGAGAGTGGTAGGCCAAGTGTTTCACCATAATTGAGATAAAAAATCATTGTGCATTTAATGAGTTGGACATAAGAGTAAGAGCTCTCAAAGACTATGTACTATACAAATTGCCTGAGGCCATAATAAAGTTGGGAATTTTATTGAATAACTTTAAAATCAAGCTGGTTACTTTAAATATATAATTTAGAACTCCCAATTTATGGGTTTGGCCATAGAGGCATCTAATGATCATATCATAACATTTTTTGAGATCTAAACTATTAAGTATAATAGGATGTTGAACACCATAAGATTGAGGCTCTTCCATTTTTACTAAGGAAAATGGTGAAGAGTTAACTAAACTCACCTTCCAACAATTCTATCACCAACTGGGTTAACTAGACAGATTTTTTTAAGTGCTTATCTCCAAGTAAGATCACCATGATGAAAATTGAGATATTTAGTTTTGTGTAGAAGAAGGGAGAGATCATATGCATGGGGGAGGTCTAAACTTCTTCCAAGGAAGTTCCCACATAATAGCATATCACTTTAGATATAGGTTTAGACCTTCTACAATTGGATATTGAGGTCAATAGGGAAACTTATAAGCCGCACAGTCGGAAACACCTTTATGAGCAAGTTATAGAAGACGTCTTATGATTTTATTAAAGAAATAGCTATCATCAACTGCAAATGAATAATTCTTTGGATGTTAATAAGAAAGTAATTCAAAACCACTAACTAACTCATCTATCATGTTGCTATTGTGTCGAAGTAGAAAAGTTCCCTCACCACCAATGTTGTTGCACTTAATTATGTATTTTTTTGAGTGCTATAGAGGAGGCCACAATGCAAGTTAATGCATAAACCTTTTTCATAGTTATACATGGAGCAGCTAAACTTTATTTGGAATTAAAAACCCTTAAATCCTTATGTTGGCATTTGCAACCTTAAATGGAGGAGCCATCTTAATATTTCTTAAAAGAATCGAAAGGATTCATAGCAATTAAGTGTTTTTCGGCAATTAAGTGGCTCTTATCACCTTGTAGTGTAGGAACAACCATCAATCCCGAACTAAGGATTGAAGAAGCATCTTTGAAGAGTTATTTAGCATATCTGACACATAGGATGAGTCAGTCCATGATGAAGATTAACATAATAATAGAAAAACAAAATGTATTCATTTAGTGTTAGGAGACCCACACTAGGAGCATGAAATTGAAAATTACCCAAACTACTCAACAATTATCTCATAAACTCATAAACAACAACACAAATTATCTATGAGAGCATGTGAAGATATTTAATATTATAAGCGAGAAGTAATTAAAAGAAGATGTTGATTATGGGAACCCTAAAATAATAGTAAGTTAGGGAGATGATTAGTAAAAGGTGGTGAAAATAAATGAATAAGGGAGCAAGAAGGAGAGATGAAATTCTAAATAGTTATGAGATAATTCAGATTAGTGAGCGTCAGTACTAACATATCGTCAGAGATTTCAAAAGCACATCTTGGATTTATAGTTTTTAGAGTTTATTGAAGTTTTCAAAAAAGTTTAACAATAATATTTCATTTGTAGATGCATTTGAGTAGATTCCTAGGTATGTGAAATTCATCAAAGTGATCTTATCCAATAAAGAAAGTTAGGAGATTATCAAAAAAAATCACACTAAAGAATTAGTTTAGTGCCATATTAAAGTAAAAATTAATCTAAGGATGCTAAGGGTTTCAACATTCTCTATTCCATAAGAAAATTTCACTTTAAATAACACAATGTGATTTGGGAGTATTGATGCGTGGATAAGAATGCTAATATTTCTTTATGATTTACACATTTCTATGCATATGATTGCACTTTAAAGAAAGATATTTTTATGTTTTTCTTGCATATACAACAAGTAATGGAAGTGAGGAAATGTCGAGGAGACTTGAAGCAAAGGATCTTAATTGAAGACTGGAGCTTAGGCGCCGGACCCCTGGGTGCCTAGGTGCCAGTCCCTCACCTGGACAACCCGAGAGGTTGGCACCTAGGAGCTAACCACTAGGTGCCTAGGTGCCGCGATACTGGCGCCTAGGCGTTCAAACCCATGGGCGCCTAGGCGCCTATTCCGTCTTCAACGAATAGAGAAAACAGCGCTTAGGCGCCATCAACTGCTTGGAACAGCTTTGACAGTTTGGGAAGTCTAACGTGGGGGGTCGTCGGGAGTTGCTTAGGAGGCTGTGGGGTAATTTTTATGCTAAGTAATGGAGTTTTTATATATGCCGGTATCAGGGACTTAGATGGATTGATGCCCTTGTGGTTAGATTGATGAATGGGGGCTGCTAGGATTGCTGAATGTGGAGAGATTGATGAATTGTAAGGGTTAGCCTGCTGTAGAATCCTTCTTCTTCTAGTGCAGAGGAGAGGGAGAGTCTTCAGGAGCAGCAGCCCAGGTTCAAGAGGAATCTTGGTTGAGCATCTTCAGGTCATTGTAAAAAAGAGGAAGATAAGTCTTGTTTGTATTTATTGTTGTATTTTATTTATAAACATTTGGATAGTGGATTTTTCGTGTTTCAATAAAATCCGTGTGGCACTTTTCTCATGCTTCTTGAGTGGATTTCCTTACTTTCCCTAGTGATGATTAGGATGTATATGACTGAAAAGTGCTTTTAAATTACTTTTAAATTTACTAGTCAGGATATAACCAAGGGTGTGGCTAGTCAGCCTAAACTGACTAACCATGAAAAGGACTAAGCCATGCCAGATTTACTGAACGAGGTATGACAGAGGGGTTCTGCAATAACATATTGATTTGTTAGACCTATACTTCAAAATGACAGAATGATGAGGGCCTCTATCTGACCCTCCTTCAAAATGGTAGAAGAGAAGATTGGATCATCTCACGTGATCCGAGTCATCCATCATGCTTCTACTGAAAGGGACCCCGGTTGAGAGTCTAACCAATCCCTTTGAACAGAAGCACCAATCAAAACAACCTGGTCACCATCAAGAGAAAAACATCCTGATTGAATTAGCAACTAAACCATGCCCAAAATGCCATGGTTAATTGAGAAAACCTGATCATCTCATGTGAACCGGGCCATCTGTTGCGCACTCATGCAAGGAACTGATTAGAAGGTATATGGTTCGAGTGACTTCGTAAAGGGAGGCTATAGAGCCGAAGGCACAAAAGACAAGACGTCCTAATAATAGAGCTAACTAAAACATCATATGGTTTTAGAAGCATCACAAGGCGTGGTTATAAAGTCGTAGGTGCTCTCCTAAAAGAACTGACCACAAGGTCATATGGCTTGATCATATGATAACCTAATGATCGCTAGCCATAAACCCAATGGAAAACAAAGATAACAACCTAATTGAATGTGTCGAACATCACTCTTCGACTGTGGTTACAACAATTAGAATTTAAAGGTAAATTTAATTGATTTATATAGTTTTTTTCAATGATAACATTTAATTTGTAATTATAATAATTCATCGGAATAGAAAAATATATATATACACTTAGACTCGACCCATTGATGATAAGAAAATCAATTATAAATGAATTGTATTGTCGTCTTTTGCCTCTTCTCCATTACCAAATTTTAGTAATTTCCCAAGTCTTATCACTGTTGTAATAGGCTTAGTTAAATTGAATTAAGTAGTATTTTTTTTTTAAAACTTCAGGGTTCATTTTTTGACTATACTAAATAGTAGCAGAATATATATATATATATATGAAACAATATAAAGATAAGAATTGAGTGTTGCTCATGCATATATATAAAAATAAGGTTTGGACATGGCTACCCATGTTTTGATCCTTCTTTCCATTGTTCCCTCTTTTATGCTTTTTGCTTTTAATCCTTTCTTTAGCTTTCTAAGTTTTCTTGCATACTTGGTGACGATTTTTTTGCTTTTACTGTGCAGTTTACTTTTACATTGCTTTTGGGTGCCTTGGGGTAGTTTGGCTATGGCGGCTCCAACCTTTGTTGAGGCTGTTAAAGGTAGCAAATCTTTTGACACTAATAACTTGATTTTCCCACAGCAGCTACAGACTTATTTAGTTGATGATTGTGACAATGAAGGTCTTCTTAAAAGGGCAGTTTACAAAAAACGGCAAGCTAGCTCCCTTCTTCACTGAATCTGATACCTCTAAACTCATTGAATCTCTGAAATTTGCCTTGATGGGAAAGTTCACCTATGGGAATTCCAAAAATGGACTTCATTAGAAAGTTTTTTGAAAACCTAAAACTATTAGGGGAAAGGAAGGTTGGTGCCATTCATGGAAGGCACGCAATCATTAAACATGAAAGGGAAGAAGACTATGCAAGATTGTTTTGCAAGCCATGGTTTTTGGAAAATGCACAAATGAAAGTTTGAAAGTGAACACCTAATTTTGACCCTTCTCAAGAAACCCCTATTATTGCTATTTGAATTAACTTCCTTATTCTAAGACCACTATTTCAACCAAAAGGTGCTTTACTCCCTTGGTGTTATATTTGGTAAAACATTGAAAATTGATCTTACTACACACAATTTCAGTAGGACATCCGCTACCAGAATATTGGGTATTGGCAAAGAGTGGAAGTTGAGTAAAAAGACAAATATTGTAGTAAGTGTAGAATGTTTAGCCATTTAGTAGAGACATGCTTTGTTTCCCACCCTGAATAGAGAATGGCTAGAAGAAATGGGGATGTTATGGAGAGAAATGGTGCACCAATAATGAACCTGTTATTCTCTTACCAACTGATGATACTGTTTTCAATATTGAACCTACTTTTCCCTTAACAACGGTTGTGGAAAATAATTTGGTATTAAATCAGGAAACAACCTCTTTTAATGCTGAAATAGAGCATTACTGGACAACAATAGAACAATAATGAAATGGTAAATGTTGAACCTCAATACTCTCTAAGATAGACTGAAAACCATTAGCAAACTGAAAAACATAATACTGAAGTGGAAGAGCTTACTGTTCAGGTTCCTAATTTGGTTAGTGATGCACGTGGGGTTTTTACACAACAGTTAATGTTTGAAGCTGATTTGATTGCTTCTCAGAAAACTCTGGAACCAGAATGGCAGGTACGAAAGAAGAGGAAATAGAAACCAAAAAACCATAGAAATATGTCTTTTTTAGACCAAAATGCTGTCGTAAACTACAGTGGTAATTCTTCAGAACGTATTTTAGCCAAATTGGATAATGGTGCCCCTTCCAGGAATACTAGGAGCGGCAATATGAACACCCATGGTTAACTTCATGATATAGAATGTTAGGGGCATTTCTTAAAAGGATGCCTCATTTAAGATGTTTTGCCATTCTTGAACCAATGATTCAACTCCAAAATATCCTCACTGCAATCAGAAGACACAACTATGTATAGAACTACAACTTAAAGATTTGGTTTTTGCGGAAGAAGGAAAACAAATTTAATTTGCTTTGTGATAATCCACAATTTATACATCTTCAAGTATCCTTTCTTCAACAAACTGTCCAACTTTCTATCATTTATGCTAGCTTTAATTCTGTAATTTGAGCTACTTTGGAAGGACCTCCTTGCTGTTTCTCAATGTTATCAGTTACCTTGGCTTGCTGGTGGTGACTTCAATGTTGGACATCGTCATCCATGTAGCCGCTGACTCGACCTGCTGTTCATGTAAGGAAACGCTGTCCGGCTTGATCTCCTCCATCTATCTGATACACGACCAATCGGACGGCTCCCCGTCATCGTCCCCGATAGAGTGATCTCGTGACCGTCCACACTAAAGCTGCAAATCCTGAATGTCCAAAACAATAGATAGTTTCAGAAATAATTCTGGAATGGTAGACTTATTTGATGTTTGTGTTGAAATTCAGAATAATGCGGAATAAGGAATTATTTTATTGATATGAATTGGGGTTTAAATAACTCTTACAGGAATCTTATAATAGGTAAAATAAAAAAAAATATTAAAGGAAGGATATATCACTCCATATTTCCAATAATTAATTCATATTAATTATTAGGAGATATAGGAAATAACATAAAATAGGAAAACAAATAATTCCTGATCAAAGGAAATAAATATAAAATAAGAAATGAAATATCTCCTTATATTAAAGAAATAGTTTATTCCTCATAACTTCTTATAGGAATAAATTATTTCATATTATAATTCTTAACACTGCCTCTCAAGTTTGAAATGTATGTTAATATTTTCTAACTTGTTGAGTAAGGAAGAAAAATTAGTCATTTGAATTATTGAATTTGCTAGATTCAGGCTTGACTGAATTTTGAGTTTTTGCTGCCATATGTTTTGGCGTAGAAGAGAGATTCTGGCTTGGCTGAATTTGCTAAATTTATGCTTGATTGAATTTTGAGTTTTGTCTACCATATGTTTCGGCATAGAAGAGAGATTCAGGCTTGGCTGAATTTGTCGGATTCAAGCTTGTTTGAATTTTGAGTTTTGCAGGGAAAAAGACAACCTACAGGAAAAATGAATTTTAGTTGACCACGGTTGTCGTTGACTGCAGAGAAAACATGTAAATCACACCCAGTAAATTCTGCTGACAGAGAAAGTAACAGAAGAAAGGGCGGTTGAAAACAAAGCTCCCCCTGACGCTTGGGCCAGGGAAGAAAAAAATACTGCAGGAGAAAGGGCCGACGATGGATTTTGCCGGCATTGTCTGATCGACGACAACGATATCTCCGGCGAGTTGACGATGAGGCGGGTGGTGGCATCACTGGTGCCGCCCTCACTGGAGCCCTTGCTCACGACCCCTTCTCGATTTATTCGGCTCATGTGGACGTCGCGCACAAGGAACACAACATGTTTTGTCTCGACTGCGGGGACGCCGACTCTGGTGCACGTTGCCTCTATTGTCTCTCGGAGCGACATGTCGGGCATCGCGTGATTTAGATACGACGATTGTTTTAACATGATGTGGTTCGTGTGGCGGAGATCCAGAAGGTTCTGGAGATCGGGGGAGTTCAGACGTGTGTGATCAACAACGCCAGAGTGCTCTTCCTCAATGAGCGACCTCAACCATGTTCTAGCGATAAGGGTGCATTCCCGCACACATGTGAGATCTGTGCTCGATCCCTGCTCGGTAAGGGGGGGGTAAGGAGGAGCAGAACAAGACATGTAGGTCACGTGACTGCTGGTTCAAGAAGGGTCGGCCAATAGACAAAGCTTGCAAGGAGAGAAGTAGAAAAAATCGTTGTTTCAAACTCGAAGATGAGTGCCCCTCCCTTCCCGCACAAAGGATGACAGAAAGAGAGTCCGACAATTCTCAAAGGAAGATCGGTGACTAGAGTACGAAATTAGGCTCTGATACCATGTTAAAATTTAGAATAATGCGAAATATGGAATTGTTTTATTGATATGAATGAGAGTATAAATAACCCTTACAAGAATCCTATAATAGGAATAAAAAGAAAATGATATGAAAGGAAATATATATCTTATGATATCTCTAATAATTAATTCATATTAATTATTAAGAGATATAAGAAATAAGATAAAATAGGAAAACAAATAATTCATATTCAAAGAAAATAAATATAAAATAGGAAATAAATATAGGAATAAATTATTTCCTATTATAATGCTTAACAGTTTGGTTCAAAGGTAATCAATTTACTTGGTCAAGAGGTCAGGTACATGAAATATTAGATAAGAGTTCATGTAAATCAAGATTCGATACAGCAGTTTCATTGCACTGCGGTTTTTCATTTGAACAGTTTTGGGTATGATCACTCTCCTCTCTTGATTTCTGTCAACATATTTCCTAAACCTTCTGTGAAGCAATTCAAATTCATCAATGCTTGAGCACATGAATCTTTCCTTGATTTGGTCATGAATGTCTGGACAACTGAGAATTATTCAAATCCTTGGACAACGCTTTGGCTTATGCACAAAAATATGTTTGTTGCACCGAAGGATTGAAAATGGGAGGTGCTTGGCGATATATTTAAAATTGATGAAGAGTTTGTTGCCCTGAAGGTTGGGCAGGTTGAAGAACAGGTGGCCAGTCTTGAAGCTGATTTTGATAGGGGACTCGCTAGTGAAAGTAATTTGTTAACTGCTCATTCCAATCTCAAAGGTGCCATCCAACTGGAAATAGACTTCCTCAAACAAAAATCTAACTTTCTCAGCTTTGTTGAGGGGGACAGGAACACCAAATTTTTCCATGTCTGCATCAAACACAGAAAACAAAATAATGCCATACTAAAACAAAAAAAATGAAGATGTGGTGTGGCCACATACATAAAAAATCATCAATATTGCACTGTATTATTTTCAGAAGCTATTTCAACCAAGTGGCATAGAAGAATTGTTTGAGATTCAAAATTGTTTCCCCTAGCTTCTGCTGTCTCAAACCTATATACTCTTTCTAGTCAACGTGATGAAGATGAAATTTAGACAACCCTAAACTCCATTGCAAGAATAAGGTGGTTGTACCTAATGGTTTCACCTCCTTGTTTTATATTAACGCTTGCCAAATCATTAAGGGAATCACACTGAAGCTATTCAAAATTTTTTTTTAGGTTTTCTTCCTCATAATTCTTCAAAAGTTCTTCACTTGCGCTTATCCCAAAAAAAAGTTTAATTATAAATGGGTGGATTTCTGACCAATTAGTCTCACCTCTGTGGTTTCAAAAATCATAAGTAAGATTTTGGTTTGCAGACTAAATAAAGCCTTTCCATGATGGAATTATCAGCCCACAACAAACAACCTTCATACCTGAAAGACAAATCACTGAAAATATACTGACCGATCAAGAGTTTGTCATTCGTTTGCAATTAAAATGCAAAGGTGTAAATGGGATTTTTAAAATTGATCTCAGGGAAGCATATGTCACCATTAAGTGGAGTTTCATTCTACAAGTGCTTGAACATAGTGGTCTTCCTGCCGACTTCTGTTTGCTGGTCAAGAATTTTCTTGATCAAAGTTATTATTTTGTGCTCATAAATGTTTCTCAACATGGTCACTTTAAAGCTTGTAGGGGCCTCAAACATGGTGACCTCCTCTCCCCTGCACTTTTCATCATAGCTATGGATTATTTGCAGGACTTCTCAAGAACTATTTCAGTAATCATGTTGATGGTAAAT